TATCAAGAATTTCAGACTTTGAATTATGTCATGGAAGACCATGTTTTATATCGTATATTCTGGGCACATATATGAAATCAAATGATATTGACACTGCAATTAGCAAATTTATCACTGGGATATCTAATGTTGATGGCCAGATTTTCCCGCTTAGATTCTTGAAAAATGACCTTGATGGAGGCATTCGTTCATTTGACAAAGTCATTGCTGGTGATAACCTGTCAGGACCCATTTGCGACGCATTTATTGATGCCATTTGGGAGGGGAAAATGCAACTTAAAGTAACTGGAAATGACGCTGCTACTGCAATACTTTACGGTTTGGGATTTGGTCAGACTGTCAATGGAACTATATCTTCCATTGAAATTCAAGAATTGGCCGTAATCGAGTGTCTTCGCTACTTTTTGCCCTTTGCACACACTGTCAAAAGTTTATACCAAAGAATTGGCTCGTATCCTAACCCTAACCCTCAAACGGTTGGCTATTTGGTGGAATACTTGGTTGCGTTTGCTTTAGTAGCCAACCATTCTGGTCCTGATGCTGCCAATAGTATCAAGGCATCCCGAGCTTCTGCATCCAGCTATTTACTATTTGGTGATTCAAGTCAAGTATACTTTCCCGATCATATGTGTGGACCAGATATCATCTACAAGTGTGCCAAGACAAAGACTGTATACATTGTCCAAGTCAAATTTGTCGAGAGAATGTCAAAACAAGAAGCTGCAAACGCTTACAATACTACAGATCCTGAACGCTTTTATTGCAAACGTAATGGCGGTGGAGTGTCGGAAGGGTTTGAAGAAGAACAAACTTACCTTCTTAGCACTTTGTCGAAACTACACGAATCAGGCTACTCATTGCAACAGAATCTGGTTATTCATACTGCTGAAAAGAACCCTGTTGATGCTCAAGGTATGGAAATCATCAATAGTCAAAACTCGCCTCAGTTTTTTGATGAGATTGGCAACGGTGTTTGGAGTTTTTTGGATTCAGTTGGAAATAACCTTCAATAAAGTTTCAAGATGAGATTGATATACAGATTGGATTTTCAAAATCAAAAATAACTTTGATTAGTCATATGCAACCAACACCAAACACGGAACCTTGAATATGAGCTCAATGATCAATTTTATCATCATGATTCGTAATTGCAAATAGAAATTGTTCCAAAACATAGGAATCCAGTCGTCATTATAAATATTCTTGCATTGCATTGCATACACAACTCCATTTGTGTATATTGATGGTTTTGCACAAAACTGAATTGATGCTAAACTTGGAAATACTGACGATAGCAAGACAGATGCATGAATTCATTCACTCCATTCAACAACAGACATAGTTGCCAAGATCCAAACATGTTCCGCAACAAGTGATTTGTATTTTTACAGGCAAAAGTAGATGCTACCAGTGTAACATCTGTCAATTCTGACATGTTCAAAGTAATAACCAGCCAATAGTCTGGATTAAACGACAACACATGATGACCGATCGTCATTCCAAACACCAGGACAATGGAAAGGGTTCAACATGTAGAGTCAATCATTCCACCACAATCAGAATTGTAAGTGATTGGATATTGGCACTATTGAATCACAAAATAATCAAACACACGATCGCATATCTTGTCAATGTTGCATTGCATTGCATCAAAACTAATACTGACTCCAATATGTCTCCCGTTGTTGATTACAATGTGTTTGTGGCAATATAACCATCCAAATACTTTTATATTTACATTTTGCTGTTGATAGATTTGCAACAACAAGATTGTCAAAAAACAAATTTTTAGCCATGCAAGGACCAGTCTCAGTGTTTACAGCAACAAAAACATTCAATCTCGGAGCCAACCAACAACAATCATTTTTCAAGTCATGGATATATTTTGCAATAAACTTTGAATATTTGCCAATTCCAACTTTAACAGGGTTTAACAAGGTAGACATTTATTGGCTTTGTTTGTATGAAAATATGTTGCTTGAAACAAATACAAATCTTGCCGCTCTTTTTTTAAACTGGATTGCTGCATATCATATTGTTCAATATCTGTTTTTTAGTTTGTGTGCAATGACGAGGTGTGTTGATAATGCTCCTGATTGTGTTGGAAAGAACAGTATGGATTTTCACCATCACTTTTATTTGGAAACATTAAAAACAAGCATATTACAACCATATTCAATGGCAAAAACAGGAGTGATTGGGCAATTCACAAGCATGCACATAAAGCCGTATGATAAGACTGTGATATCAATGAATCCAATGGTCAAATGTTTGCTCAATAGACATTTTTACATTATACATGAAAAATTCGATAACGTTGCAAGTAGCATCTCTTTTTGAAATACAAACTTGATGAAAAGCGTTCAAAATGGTTGAATTCAAAGAGTAAACGGCAATGCAACAATCAAGAGCAAAATCAGTCAATTACAGTTCAACACTCAATGTTCAACTCGATTCAAGAAACAAATACAAACAAATCAGGAGTCTGATGAATAAAACAGTTTTTGAAGAGTATTTATGCTATTGAAAATCGGATAGTATATGGTGTCAAAAATACATGTATTTTAGACGAGATCAAACAGGTGTTACGAAACTACGTTGCTTCAACTTGGAAACACCAGTTATTGCATTTGATGATGTTTTGTCAGCTGAAACTTTAAAATAAGTTGCTTGACCTGTTTTTCCAACACTCTTGTGGAAAGATTGCTAAATGGAATATGTTGTATGAAATGAATTGATATGTTTCAAGAAAACAGTGTCAGAATCACTTGTTTTACACAATTTTGGATAAAATCAACTGTGGATATTGACAAAAATGGCTTGGTAATGATTTGATTGAAAGAATGAGTGGCGGCATTATAGTGTACAAATGATACGACTTTTATAGATGTCTGTTAAGTAATATCGTGAATATACATGAACTTGTGAATGAATAGCGCAAAATACTAACCATTGTTGTTTTAATGTCAAAATTTGATTACATTGACAAACACACCGTTATTATACATTGTATGATAGTACAATAATACCATATTTGTCATTATTTTGACTATACAAGACACGATTGAAATCAACTAAAGTATCCAGTTGAATCTAGCCAGGACATTATATTTGCACAATTAGCTTGATTTGCTAATCATGTGAAATTTATAATCCTTCATCCAGACACAAAGGTTACAAACTATACTAAAACAAGGGGAATATCACACAATCAAACATGGACACACTACATTAAATATACATATAATATCAGTTTGTCACTAATGAATTGTATTCAGTCGAGTTTATCGTGAGTCTGTTTGTGACTCTTGACAGTGTGGTGAGTGTTTTCAGGCACGACTACTTGATCAGTTGTAGTTGATGCATCCATAATGGGAATGAGCAGTCAAACAACGTGTAATACAAAATTAGCAAGTTGATGGATATAATAAAACTGACTATTTATTTAATAGTGCATAACATTGATCTTTTTGTAGTCGAAATGATGTACATGAACACTAATATGATCTGATATTGCATACTCACAGCATATTATCATTGTGCAGCATGTTGATGAGTAACCACTTCACTTGAACATCAGAGCTTTCAATACCATCTTGTGATGATCAGAATATACTTGCCGCATGATGTCGTTGCACAGCACATTTTAATGAAATTCAACCCTAATACCGACTTTCAGTTTGAACAACGAATCATCATGTAAACGCAACTCCCTTAAACTATCCTAACAATAACACAAGCACCTTAGGACGGTCATTCAAGGAACATGCTTGCAATATTATACACTAATATATAAATAAAACTAAACATCGATCTGCCAAATGACAATCTACAACTTGCTCGACCAAACCAGTAAAAATGAAACTTTCAATCGCCATATTGTCATCGATCCTGCTTGCCTGCTCGGTCACTGTTGCCGACCCAGTTCTTGACAGTTCGACTACAAGTACTGCAACCAGCACTTCATCGACATCTCCTAGTGCAACTGCAACCAGCACTTCATCGACATCTCCTAGTGCGACTGCAACTAGCGGGACCAGTCATTCAAAATCTTTGTATTCATATATACAATATATGAATAATTGCTATCCGATTGGTGTTGATGCATTGAAAAATATCGAGCTACTTGCATTAGCTTCACGTAAACTTGACATACTATCGCAATATATTGACAAGAAAAAGGCTCATGTTAACGAACAAAAGAAAGTGATCGATGAACTGCAGGATGAAATTGACCATCTCAAGAATAACCCTTCGAGCACCGAGTCAGAGATGGCCAAACTCGAATATATGCTTACTGACTACAATGAAGTTTTCACGAAGCTTAAGAAAGATCTAGTTATAATCTTCAAGAGACATTCAAGAACATGTCAGGAAACTACCAAGTTACGAAGGAAACTTAAAGGTTACTTTAAGAGACATCATCCAGGCGAAGAAATAATTACTTATGGTGGACCATATCTAAATAGATACCCTATATTTACAAGGTGCTTCCATATCTTCTACAACGGTGCACTTCAATTACCAAAACTCAAGTATGATGCGATCCTTAAAGATCCTAGTGTTTGGCAATAAGCTTTTGGACCAGATTCGTCACAATGTTGGAGTTGAGTGAACCATCACAGTCCCATCCAGTATATGTTGTAATGCAGCGTGTATTGCATGTTGGTTTAATTGTCATGTGTCATGCATTCAATGTTGTTCATTCAATAAACATCGTGCATTGTCAAACAATAGTGTATTATACTAATGGTTTGATCATGCTACACCAATCAACTACTATGTGCTGTCATGACTGATCATTCGGTGTGCGACACATATTGAATGCATGCAACTCCATGACTGCTGCTCCCTTGTTGTTGAAACAAGTTCAAATCACCATCAGCTCACTCACTCGTTGCACCGATGCGATTGCATGATCAACCTGACACCAACCAAACCACACTCGAATATATATGTTCCAGTCATGTGCATGGTGTATCGATTGTCAACTCACAATGTCAACTCCAATACATTCCACCATGATTATGGTCACATCACACCATGCTGACGTATGTCGATCGGTATCACATTGCAAATGACTGTCATCCAATGACTGCAATGCAATACCGTGCATGTATTGTGACTGATACGTTGTGCACCATCAGCAAGTGTGCAACTGTCACTCGATATATCGACTCTGATATGCAACAACATGCTGTGTTTATCATGATCAAGTTTTTGATCAATCTTGGACTCACAATACATGATTTGTCATGTTGGATTTTGTGAATGTGTCATGGACTGCAATTTAGTTGCAGACACACATATGTTTGACATTGACCGATGCATACTGTGCAATGACTGATCAGTGCGTGTATGATTGCACACTTGGTGGTATTGTGCATTATAGTTGTTTGACAACGGATGAATGCTGGATTAATCGGTTATATGCAATCCATCTAAATCGACCTATTTGAACAAACACTCAATGTAACTGACAAAAAACACTGCCAGCCAATGTTTGTACGGTACGAATATAGTTTGTTTGCATCAAATCATTACACATTTTGTATCTCAGCACTCGTTTATTCAAAATAAAATGTATTCAACCACATGTTCAAACATGTTTGGCTACAGACAGTTTGTGGGATAAACTGCACATCATCGACTGAGCTACACTGCATGATCTACTATGCCATTGATACACACGTCCAATTCAGCAATGCAGCAGTATTACAATGCTGACAACTATCTGAACCAATTCAGTACAATATGTTACAACTAAATAGATTCCATTGACACATCAACAGTCATGCATACCGATTGTTGAACATGCTCGTGTTGGTTGGTGTGCATTGATACAAGTTGTCAGAGCCAACCAACAAATCACTATATCTGTACGGATTGTGTACCATGGCATATGTTTGAACAGATACTGCACGAATCATTGTCATTTGGATTGAATAATCAACAAATACCATTGTGACTACACATGTATGCATATCTGAATGGGTTACAACCGTGTTGCATTTCATGACACTCGATTGAAATGTCATGATTGGATATTTTTTCCAAATAGTAAAATGATATCTCGTAAAATTGTTGAAATGCATTGATGATGGGATTGGATAATCAATTGCATGATACAATCAAATACCGCCGATTACTTTGTTGGTGGCCAGTATCACATGTGTACAATATCAATATGTTGCACGACTGTAATCCAAACAGGTTGGAGCATGTCACGTAGCGATACAATCAACTTGGTACAACACATGTCAACATGTCAGTATTGGAGACATTTAGTGTTACAATGATGTGTCAGCAACAATGTGATGGAACTGGATGGCAATATTAAAGCCATGTCCATAATACGTGATACAACAACAACTTGCAGCCATATTGACGTAAATGGACTACTAAATAACAGTGTCATTGATGTATATGAAACAAGCCATGCAAATGTATCAATCAACAATCCAGTAACTGTTGATGTAATACTCAACACAGTATACACAAACATGCAATATAAAATCAATAATATGGTTGTTGACCCATTCACAATACTCGACAAACACCAACATATCAGAAAGTTTAAATTTATTCATTTTTTTCGAGCTCTTGACGTATCTTTAAAATCCGAACCTGTTTCTGAACCTGTTTTTTAATCTGTTTCCGCTCCTCCCTCGACATGAACCTTTTTATTTTCCGTTTCAAATAGCCTATGTTGATCTTTGATTCATTATACTCTTTTTTCAATTGGCTTTCAACTTTTGGATCGTGTCTTGATTCAGATATCTCTTCCCCTTTTGCCAACATTAATTCTTGTCTCAGCCTAAGGGATTCGTATTTAAGACAGGCTTGATGGGCTTTCTTTTTTGCTTTTTCAAGAATGATCATTTCCTTTTTGTATTCATCCAAGATTTCTATACTCATTTTGTCCAATATAATCCCTTGATTTGAAACAGTATTGCTTGAGCTGGATTGATCCATCGAGTGTTGGTCTTGACCTGATGTGCTTGAATCAATAATATCCATTATGTCTTGCCAATATTCCTCGGAAGCTTCTGGATCAAACTTATCAGTTGAACTTTCCTGGGTTTGACCTGAAGTACTTGGATCTGATTCGCCAATTGGATGCTGTTGGTCTTGACTGGAAATACCTGGATTAATTATACTCACTATGTCTTGCCAATGTTCTTCGGAAATACCTGCGCCGGACTCATCAATTGATTGTTGCTGATCTTGGTTGGAAATGCTTAAATCAAGCTCACTCATTACTTCTTGCCATTTTTTGTTGAAAATGTCTGAATCGGGTTTATTGGTTGGGCCAGACACTTGACTCGAAGTACCTGATGCTTGAGGTGAGCCATTGTTATCACTTGGGATCAGTATTGCATTAGCGGTTGCTGCCGCAGTCAGTACGAGTAAAGTGTCAACCAATTTCATCAAATTGGTCAGTGATTTCAAACGATTAATACAAAAGTAGAGTGTCGAGATTGGTGTCGATTATAAAACTGGATGTACTCGATTGTATTTGTATGTTTTGTATAGCAAGCCAACCCTTTAAGGTTAACCAGCAATACAGGGTTACTTGATCGCTTGTAGTGAGCAACCATCAAACTAGACAGTATGGTGCTCCCTATTCACAATAGCATATTGATCAATTTGATGATCGTGTCGATTGAATTATGCTTTTACGACCCTTTGATCAGGTATTTTAAAAAGCACCCTTCGGAAATGTTATATAACCGCAAACGCTTTGTTTTACAGCCGTATTCACGTAAAATGGATCGATTGTATTGATCTTGTAATGATTGTCTTGGAATAAACAATCGTTACATATTCATTGTTGTTGTTGTTGGAAATGGATTATTTGCTTTATTGAAGCTACAAGTTGTTTGGTGTCTGGAATGGCTCAGCACACACA